TGCTATTCAGGCAACTTGAGATGAAATGGGGTCAGCACAAGAGGCCTGTAGTTTTCTGACTGCATCAGGCAGCAGCTGAGGCAGGGCAGAGGGAGGGTTTTTCACTGCGTTATTCATCCCTCAGGAGTCCCCTTTGCTGTTTCCCAGCAGAGAGGCTTTTTGTGGCCTTGGTGAGACAAGGACGTAGGTGCTGCAGGAGGCTTGGGAATTACAGGGACAGGGACTGAAGCTGCTTCACATGGGGGCCGTGTGTCAAACCCAGGCATAGTCAGAGCAATTGTGCTCTTCTTCCTCTCCTAGGACACTCTTCTTCCATCCTCTCTGTACCTGTCCTCCCCTTCTTGGTTTTTACAGATGCCGACCACACTTCCCCCTCAGCAGGAATGTACTTGTTGTTGCACTCTATACTCCAGTAATGACCTGAGCCTGAATCAGAATCTACTCCCTTCATGTACAGGTGTTTACTAAATGGGAATCACATTCTCAGAAACTTCCTTATGAGAAGATGTTTAAAGGAACAGATCCTTTAAGAGCCTCTTAATGTGGAAGCTGAGGCCTGAAGTTTCATTTATGGTTCTACAGTTCCCCCCTTGAAGTCAAAGCACAAAATTCTAGCATCCCATCTAAATAAGTTAGCATTTCTGTGCCATTACTGAAGTTTGTACGTGTACATAGGCACACACACTAAACCTTACCTACGCATGCCAGGGCATAAACACACCTGACAATTTCTGCACAGAGATGTTATTCTGCAGTATAAATGGGGCAAAAACAGAATGCAGAAAGGAAAAATGAAGATTACTTCATATTGTCCTCTGGAAAGTGTTCAGAAGGAACATTTACATCCTCCTTCCATTGACTAGGTGGGAAGAATGACCTCCACAAATCCCCATCACTTAATTCCCTCTTCATATTAACTCTTCCTATTAGATCTGTTTTCCTTTGCATTGGTCCTCTAGAGTCTGTGACTTGCAAAGATATTGTGATCCCAGTGACAGATAAAGAACTATGGAAGCTGTGTCCTTTTCTCCATCAGTCTGAGCTCCTGTTTCCAGCTTGTCAGGCTGGCTTTATCTATCCTCTTTTGGGCTCTGACCCCTGCATAAAGGAGAGCAAAACAGGTTGGATACAGGAAGCAAATGAGGCCCCTTTCAGGAGTGTGGCCTTTGCCTTGCTCTACTGCCAGTATACAGAGGAGCAAGGTTGAAAGCATAGTGAAAAGAGCAGGAGTTCTTGGTTAGGGGAAGCTACAATCAAGTAGGGTCATCGGTTTAGAAAACCTACTTAGCAATGAACAAAAATCTCTCCTCTAGGCTTTCTTAAAGTCACATTAATGGAGACAAACCAGACGATGTCACACGAAATACAGGATTAAACATGACAAAGTGGATTTAATATTACCTTTAAAATAAGTTTTCTTTAGTTGATACTTGCCTCAGAATATAATCTGAAGTCTTCACTGTGCCAATGTCTTCACTGCCATCTGCTAAATTCCAGGCCCTCTCTGAGAGTAGATTGTTCTGAGTGTTTTATATCCCCAAAATATGTCTTTATCTTCCCCTTTTCTGTATTTAAGCCCACATAGCTATTGCTGCTCCTACTCACTAACTTCTCTGGCCCTCCTCCACCTTTGCTTTATCTTTGCAGCTCCTCCCAGTGTAAGTGTATCTGTGATGTTTCTGAATATGCCAAAACAGCACCAGAGCTGTTGAACAGGCTGCCCTAAATAGCAAGTCTTAGGCTTCTGCACAGCTTCTTTCTCATTGCTGCTTTACATTTGGGAAAATGAATGCTGTGCTAGGTGAACTTCTAGCATGATTCAGTATCTGTCATCCTGTGTGTGGTTTTTAACCCATTTATGGTCCATAAACCTTTTCCCATCCTTGTTTGTCTTCATAGCAGTTAAAGCACAAGCGCACAATACATACTGCATTCCTTTTTCCCACTGATTGTATGATATTAGGGACTGTAGTGATAGGACAAGGGGTAACGAGTTAAAACTTAAACAGGGGAAGTTTAGATTGGATATAAGGAAGAAATTCTTTCCTGTGAGGGTGGTGAGGCACTGGAATGGGTTGCCCAGGGAGGTTGTGAATGCTCCATCCCTGGTGGTGTTCAAGGCCAGGTTGGACAGAGCCCAAAATTCACTGATGGGTAGGCAAAACCCATTTCTTATGTTTGGCTAGGAAGACATGGTACACTGATGCTGTAGGTCCAGGGAGGGAGCTGGTTGTCCACCGCCTGTTACACCACATCCCTGGTTACATCACGCCAAAGGATGTGGCAACTGCTGCATCTGACATGAGTGTGACACCCACGTTATACTCATTTCCCCCGGGAGTTAATGACTTGAGTTGGATGGAAATTTTCCTACAGAAGACTTTTCCACCTGAAAATGCTGATTAGACTGAATTGAAGTGCTCAGTGGAAAGGTTTCGATTCCGTCAAAGCTTTCGGTGGAAACAAAGCAAGCCTCGGCCAGGATGTCCCATGGGCAGCCTGCCTTGAACCTGCCAGCTCAGCCTTCTGCCTACTCTGCCTTGGACTTTCTGGCCTTGTGGCTACAAGATTTCCCAGCTGACTGGCTATGGAGGCCAAGACACCAGTTAGGTACCAGCTTTCCCAGCTTTCTCCCTGTGTGACCGTCATTCTCTGACTCCCACAGTTGGATGTTTGGTTTTTACAACCTCTTTTGATTCCTTTGTCAGGAGTTTTCATCCCACTGACATTGTCCACGTTTTCTTTTTGCTATTTACAATTCAGAGTTGCTGTTGTTGCAGTTGTAGTGCATGTTTTATGCAGCAGAAGGTGGTATCCACGGTTGTCTGTGTTGGTAACACGATTTCCAGCTCAAGGAGCAAGCTCTGAAAGCAAAGCAGGAGGAGGTGGGTTTTCCCCCCCCATTAGTCATGTAGCTGCTATGCTGCTGAACAAAACTTAAGTGCCTAAATAGCTGAAACAAGTAAAGAGGCCACTATGTCCTGTGATATGTGCAGGTGATAAATAGGCTAGTACTGGTGATAAGATAGGTTAGAGTGAGATAAATCAGCACTGGTGATATGATGGAGTGTTACATAGTGTTGATCAGATATGATTACCAATACTTTATCACATCTCACGTTATTCCTGTTGTGCTTAGTTAGCAGATGATGTTCTAGCCCTTGCAAGGTGGAGAGGGCAAGAATCAGAAGAGCTTTAATGATTCAGGTAAACCAGTGTTTCACCCCCTTTTCCCCTCCACAGCAACTCGTGACATCTTGTGATAGCTTTGGAACAGTCAGAGCAACACCCACAGCCCAGATGGCTTTCCAAGGGGAGACACCTTACCCTTAGTCTTCTGGCATAATCGCAAGGGATTTATGCCCTGCCTCTTGGGGTGTGGGTACACACACTCCCTTGAAATTGTCTCCAACTAAACCAGAAGCTCCTCTGGGAATACAACTTCTCTGGTGCCTTCCTTCCCCATTTGAAAAAATACCAGCAGCCAGGTAACTGGGAATTGAATGGGATAAATCCATTCAAACAAACAAACAAAAAAGGATTTGTTTGGAAAAGTCTAAACAAAATATTTTGGCAGTGGTTTCAAGCAGAAAGCACACTGAGCCTTCTCTTTTCCAGCAAAACAGATGTTTTTTCTTGGAGGAAAACATGACATAGGGGATCATTTTTTTCCTGTCTGCCTTTGACTGACTGAACAAACAGGAAGAAGCCACTTTCTCCTCTGATGCCTCTGTTTTCCCCTCTACTGGAAGGGATAATAAGTCCATAGTTCTCAAGCATCCAGGACAAGCTAATGGGACTGAGAGAGAAAACGTTTTGGCACAGAAATACTTGGAGGCTGTAGCCTAAGCAAGGAGGGGGAACAGCCTTGGGTTTTATCAGACCTAAATTCTCTGCCTGCTTAAACAGGCTATACCCAGAGGTTAACTTGGGCCTCATACCTGAATTCTCCTCTGTTGTCTTCAGATCAAATCCACCTCCCATTAAGGTTTTAGCTAAGGGCTGTGCCCTGGCCTGGGCTGTAGCTGTTTATTTTACCTCTGGGACAAGATACTCAGTGTGAGTTACTGTGTGGCTTTCAGGTACCAGAAGATGATGGGAGATAAGCCTTTCTAGCCACTGCCTCTCAGGGCTCTAATCTCCAGTTTCCCTTGCTTCCCCAGCCTTCACAACCACTCTGCTCTCTGTAGCAGTGCAGACCACAGTGCCCTCAGCATGGGTAATCCACTGCATCCAGAGTGCATCCCCTACAAGCCTTGATAGGTGGGTTTCCACGAAGAGGCTGAATATCTACTGTTGGCTGCAAGAAAGCTCCAGCTCTGCACTTTAGCCAGCCCAAGGGTGACCACATTAGTGACTCTGCAGGGTTATGGAGAGCATCAGGGAGGGAAACCCTGGCTTGAAGCCTTTGCAAACATTTATGATAGTTCAATAGTCTGAGCTGTAGGTATGTTAAAAATATAGAGTTTATTTACAAAATGACCGATTTTTCAGGCTTGAAAAGCAAGATGCTTATTTCATCAGGACAGAGGGGCCAGATGGGACCCAGGAGGTGAGCAATGGGAGGACAAAGCAGTAGCACCATGCAGCTCTGTCCCAGTGCTCCTCCCCATCATTCCTGGGAGCAAACCTACTTCTTGCCCTAAGCCAAGGGGAAAGGGACTTGATGGCTCCCTTGTGTCATACCCCATGCAAACCTCACTAGAAATTTAGGTGGTTTCCCTGCAAAGAATTGTTTAAGGGATTTGGAATAATCCAGGTCTGCTGGAGCCAACACAGTTCATCCTTAGAAAGCCTGGTAGGCACTAAGCTCTGAGGTCCTGGGTTAGTTTTGGAAGTAAGAAGGAGCTGTAATACTGTCTGTTCTGTCCTGTGGTGGGTCAGGCTGAAGGTGTACATCATAGCTGGCTCTTTGGAGACACAAGGCACAACTGAGTGCCCCTGTCTGCTGTGACTCCCAGGCTCCTAGCTCTGGAACTACTGGAGAAACAAAACCAGCATTTGAGAGATTAAAGCAACAATTCACAAAGAGCCTTTCCAGGTCCCATGCAGGAAGGGAGCGTGTTGAGGAGCAGAGAAGGAAGCTCAAGGAAGAGTTTCTTTTGACTTGTCCTCTGTCTCTGGCCCATTTTCTGTCTTGTTCGCAATACTGTAGTAGTAGGAGCGGATTATGTTTTCCACAGTAATAAATCCTGGACGTTCTTCCCATCTGCAAGGGCAGAAAGGAACAAATAGAGTCAGCAGAAAGGACTAAAGTGGACTGAGAAGATTCCAAGCATAAAAGAACCTGAGGGAGAACAGCAGCCCAGTTGTACAATGGCTTAGGAAGGCGAATGGGACTTTTCTGGGTTAGAGAGGGTCAAAGGTACAGACATTCTGACATTGTCCAGGACTGGTACAGGCAAATGGAGGGGTATGAGAATAAAGACATAGGTGCATCGTTCATCATGGACCAGGGAATGAGATCAAGGCAGGAGACATCATTTGCTTTGTGGTGTTCCCATCCAGACACTGTGTGCTCTTCTTACGCCCAGCAAACAGCTGAGCTTGTGAAAGCTTTACCTGTAGGTCCAGCATTGCTGCATGAGGGTGTACATCTCTGCCGGGCAGTCCGTGGGGCATTCCATGCGCTTCCCTTGCTCTATGAAGCTGATGACCTCTGGACCTTTCATTTTCTAGGATAAGATCAAGTAGGAAATGCTTAAGGATTTTGGAACTGGCAACAGGATTAGAGGGGACAGATTAGAGCAGGGTCCAGGGTAATGCTTTGGGCCCATGCACCACACACCCGTACAGTCACTGTTTTCAGCCCAGCACCCAGCAGCAGTGTCTGGTGTTGCGCCCAGCCTGCAGGACTCAACCCAAGCATGGGCAGAGCAGTGGCTGAGCAACTGATTTTTCATCTCTGCAAGTGAGCAAAAGGATCAAAGGGAAGCTCTGCTTTCATTCAAACCCAAATCATTTTGTTTTCTGTTTCTTCTCCCTTAAATGAGCACAAAGCTGCAGGATCCAAACAATCTAATTTGTGCCTTTTGTAAAGTGGAAGTGAGCCTGTCTCCTTTCCATTCTGACAGTGGGAAGAGAACCCACACAAGGAAATAGAAATGATAGTTTTAATGCTTGTCAGCCTGTTATAGAATGAGAGTAAACTGTGGCATTCCTCTGTGATGGACCTGGCTCTGACTCACCTTGTATGGTTTCTGCCCATAGGTGAAGGCCTCCCACATGGTAACACCATAGCTCCACACATCACTCTTGCTGGAGAACTTGTGGTAGAGGACACACTCTGGGGCATACCATTTCAAAGGCCATTTTCCTGCTGTCCTGGCCTGTAGCAAAGCAAAGGGGAATATTTCCACCCTGAGACACAGACTGCTGTGAACTGAACCTGAACTCTGCTTTGCTCAATGTTTGTCTCAAATGTGATCCCACACTGCTGAAAACATCCCCTTCCCTAGGCTGGGAGCTCAAGGTCCCAAGCCCTGAATCCCAAATGGAGCCCAAGCCCTGCTGTCTTGTTGACCCTGTTCACCTTTGCTATGCTTACTCTTACCTTGTAGTAGCTGTCATCGGCACCAAGAGCCTTGGAGAGTCCAAAGTCACTGATCTTGGCGTAGTGCTGGTTAACCAGCAGGACATTTCTGGCTGCCAGGTCCCTGTGGACAAAGTTTTTTTCCTCCAAGTACTTCATCCCCATGGATACTTGGTGCATCAGCTCCACGATATTGCTGACTGTAATCTCGTCTCTGGGGAAGATGAAAGGATGACACAGTAATAAGGGACCTGCCATTGCTCTGCACACCACGGTCCCCTTCAAGCTTTCTAGCTTTCTTCTTGCCTATCAAGGCAGGATGAACATGGACATCCCTGCTCCAGAAGCATCAGTCCCAGTTACCTCACATGAAAAGACATCTCTTTCTGCTGTTATCAGCTTCCCACAAAGCTAGGCTCCCCTGGCACCAAAGAGTTTGACGAGAAGTGCAGAAGATCAGCCAGACACGTCTTATTCAGTACTCACTTCTTGGAAGCCAAGAACTTGTTGAGCGGCCCTCCAGAAGCCATCTCCATCACGAGCATCAGGGACTCTGCCTCGCAGACCCCAATCATGCGGACAATGTAGGGGTTGTCCAGCTGATGCATGATCTGGGCTTCCTTCATCATTTCATCTTTCACCGTTTTCTCATTGTTGCTCTTCAGCACCTTTATGGCCACATCGATCTGCTTCCTACATAGAGTGTGAGAGGAACACACATGGGATGAACTAAACAGCAGCTGGACTCAGGTATCATAGCCAGGAATGTAACCTGCTTCTCACATGATACTGTTTGATCTCTCAACAGCAATCACAGTGGCCTTTTCTGACAGATCCCTACACAATACTAGAAGGCTAAAGAGAAAAGGACCACCTCGCCCTTGTAATAGTAGCCCAGTGTTTGCCATCTGAAGATGCCTCACCTCACACACAGAGATCTGCACCACCACTGTCATTTTTCAAGGGGGAAACGCAGGCACACAGTGGGCAAAGGCCATCTTTGTGGACTCCTAGACAGCATAGATGGCATATCTCCTCAGTCTCACTTCTTTGCCCTGACGTGCACCAAGGTGACCTCAGAAGCATGGACTTGCTCCTCTGAGCCCAGAAAATGCCTTCAGAAGTGGTAGTCTTATGCCAGGGAGTGTGCAATCACACTCTTGGGCAATGAGGCTGCCACTGAAAGTCACTGGAAAGTCATCACTGACATTCCAGGGTATCTCACACCTCCACCCCATTATCACCTAGGGTCCATCTACCTAGAAACAGGCTAACCCTCAGCATCCTTCAGGGCAGCACTCACTTTCTCATTTTGTAAACTCCTTTCTTGACACAGCCAAAGTTTCCTGCCCCCAGTTCCACTTCATCGATCATCAGATGGTCCCTCTTCAGGAAGAGTTTCTTATCCTTCAGTTCCTCAGGGTCACTGTACGGGCTCTCGTAGACACTGGTGTCCATGGGTAGCAGGCGCGACTTCCCTGCACCTTCCCAAGGGATGCAGTTGTTAGTAACAGCAAATGAGGTACCCTTCCCATGCCTCCTTCCCTCACTGACTGGGCAGGTTTTCTCTAGTCTCTTGACTGATTCTCCCCCAGGCTCCAGCACTAAAACCTCCCTCCTGGGCACATCCCTTCCTTTCACACCCCATGGCCTCTCCCAGTTACAGCTGCTGAAGGAGCCAGGATGAGGAGAGGTCTCTGACCCACATATGAGGCCCTGCAGGACCTGGGCATGTGCATGACTTCACCCCATTGAAATAGAACTGAATACACTTGAGTATTTAGCAGACAGGATGGAAAATGGGGAATAAGACTGGAATTATTTTACTGGATATGATGGGGAATTGGATAAGGCTTGGTTCACTGGTGCAGTTTGGCAATATTCTTCTCTCAGAACCCTGAAATCACTGAGTACTCCTGGGTGCCTTTGTAAGAAAGCTTGGTAATACAGCTCTTTGACCAGAAAGTGATGTAGATGTGTCAGGTAACCCTGTGGCTCCTGTAACATCCCCAGGTCCTCTCTCCTGTTAAGACAAGAGGGCTTTCAAAGATGCTCACCTACAGGCTCTGGCGTGTATCCATCTGCATTTAGAGGCCCCAGGTGTCTCTGGAAAATAAATGGGGATGAAGTGCATAAAGAAGCCAGAAACTGCTTCAGTTTGTAATGGGAGAGGAGAGGGATGGGGGCTCTGCGACCCAGCAGTGCCCAGCTGGTGGTTCCATCTAAAAACCCTGGGGTGTGTACAAGAGATTGCAGTGGTATCCAGCTGACTTTTCTCTTCCAATCCTGCCTGGAAGTGCCCCAAAGGGACAAGTCTCCTGCAGTAGGATGGGTCATCCAAGCCAAGTCTCTGCAGCTTGTTTTGTGACAGGAAGGCTGAAGGCAGCAGCCAGCACACCTACCTGCCCAGAGAGCGGCCCCTGTGAGCAGGGACACCACGTACCACCATCCCAAAAGCAGACAGTGACAAAGCAGCATGGGACACGTTTGTCCAGCACAGCTTTGAACGCCAGCACTGCTTGCAGCAGGGTCGCCGTGACATGGGATCCCACCACAGATTGTGAAAGCTCTCTGGGAATGATGGGTGAATGCTCAGGCCTTCATTTAGCCTCTGCTGGGCCTGGGATGGGCTCAGGGAGCCCGAAGGGGCTGGTTTCAACACAGAGAGCGGTGACTGAGTGCAGCCATACCCCGAGGCCAGGACACAGAGGGAGCACAAAGACCTGGCCAGTGGCCAGCGGCCAGCAGCAAGGCTGAGTGTTCCCAGAATCCCACCACGTCTTCCTTGCTCCTGCCTGGCAAGGAGGGCAGGGGGGAGAGGGCTCCCCAAGGACAGCCCCACATGTTGCAAGGAGCACAGTATGAATGGAAACCATTTTCAGCTCTAACGGTAGCTGTGCCCAGCTATTCCTCATCCCCATCCAAGCTGGAAAGGGGACAACGTTGCGGCTGGGCTTAATATATTCCATTTGAGTTACAGAGTTTTAGAGCAGAGGTTGAAGAGCAAGCAGAGGTTGAGCAGCAAGCTTGAAGTGCAATAATGTTAAACGACTGAGGTATCAATAGAACAGACCCCCCCCCAGACTTACGCTCACAGAGGGATGGGTTGGTGGAACTGGTGCTGCAGACACTGTGAATCAGGAAAGAGAAGTCGTTATTAAGAGTCTGCCTATGTCCTAAGAAGGATAACAGCATCAGTCCTTGAAGGACTGTGTGGCTGCCTCTGTCTCATCCCCCTCTTCCCTCTTAGGCAACAAAGGTCTGGAAACGTGCCTAGATGTGGGTGCTATTCCCACACCAGCCCTCAGGGATTGCAGGCCCACTGGAGCACCCTACAATCTCCAGAGCAGGCTGAGCTGTTCCCCAGAGCCCCCCATCCAAGAGATTGAAGGTCCCATGGTGACATCTGTGACACTTGGAGCAGGGCAGTGACCCATGGCTTTGAGTCTTCAGCCCAAGAGACCCCCCAGGAGCCAGACTTGCAGGGCATGTTTCCTGCTGCCTAAAGAGCAGGTCATTCTTTAGAAGCTGCCTTTGTGGCACCAGAAGTCTCTAACCAATTTGGAGCATTGATTCCCTCATCTGCTCCTGACTTTGGGCCACCCTAGGCCAGGCCACTGTTAGCAAACAGGACATGAGACTTGCCCAGTTTGCCAGAGGACCTCATCATTCCCTCACTACCAGAGTGTGAGCAAGATTGGATATGGTAAAGGACACTTGGGTTGGTGCTGCTCAAACTGGCTCCTCTTGGTGATAAGCCAAGGCGAGGGATGGCACTGGGAGATGTCAGCTCACCTGGCATGTTGGGGTTGGGGCAGGTTTCCCTCAGGTAGAAAATCAGCCCGTCCGGTTTGAGTTTTAGGTACTCCACCAACTGGGAAAGGAATTGGGGGAAGAAGAGAGGGTTGTGAGGATAAAATCAACTCTTTCTCTGCAGCAACTCGTGGGAATGATTTCTCTCTGATTTAGGGCAGAAGAAATACTTTATTCCTTTCTCTCCTCTATCTGTGCACTCAGGTATCTCCTAGAGTGTCTGCGTACCTGGATACCTGCGAGGGCTGGGAAGAACTTGGGAAGTTAGATAAGGACTGAAGAAAGACAAGAGGAAAACCTCCAGGAGAAGAACTGGGTAGGGCATTCTCACTGTAATGCTGTTGTTGTCCCAGCCAGAAAGGGTTTTCAGTTGTCTTGTGTTTGATAAAGCCTGAAAGAAATCCTTTGCTTCCCACAGGAGCCCCAGGGTGAGCTCTGTGCATCCTGGCTAGGTTTCCACTGCAGGTCTTTAACCTCCTGCTTAAAACTGGGTAGTTTCTTTACCACCAGTTCAAGCACAGTGAGGACTTGACTCTGGCTGCAGACAGCCAGCCCAGCCCCAGGCCACTGGGCTGCAGAGGAGACAAATCTTTCTGTTCCCCCCCTGCCTGGTTCAGATTTCATCTGCAATTGGGAGCTGGCATGGTTCCGTTGCCATAAAAATGCCCCAAAGCCTTTGTTTTCAATCAAATTCAGAGTGAAAACAGTCCTGGGAATTTGGAAAACCCAGCAAAACAAAGTCACTGTCCCACAGACAGCCCTGCCCAGGAGGGAACGCTGGATATCCCTTCCCCAAAGCAGGGGAAGGTGTGAGCTATGGGGCAGAGCTGGGCTCCAGGGGTGTGTGTGACTCCCCAGCAGTGCCAAGAGCTGCTGGACCATGTATCACAATCCCTAAACCCCTGCCCCATCCTCATGAGGACTGCTGGGGCACGGCAGCCATCACCACGTCCCAAAGCCCCTGACTCTCAGGGGTGATAGGATGTTAGGGTATTAGGATGATTGGATATGAGGAAAAAATCCTTCCCTAAAGGGTGCTCAGGCATTGGAACAGGCTGCCCAGGGCAGAGCTGGAGTCACTGCCCCTGCAAGTGTTCACAAACCATGTAGATGAAGCCCTTGGTGCCATGGGTTAGTGGTGGCCTTGGCAGTGCTGGGAACAGTTGGACTGGATGGGCTTAAAGGGCTTTTCCAAGCACGTTGGTTCTATGATTCTGTGTGTCCCTGGTGCTTGGATCTTCAGTCCTGTAAAGACTGGCAGCTAGCTCAGGGCTTCTGGCCTCCCCTGCTTTTTGCCCTTGGAACATAAGGCACCAATCTGCACACAGCAGTTTTGCTGGTCCAGGAGCAGAGAGGGACGAGCCGGAGGGACAGCCTGGGATGAGCAATCACATCAGGGCTTGCTGCACATAGAGATCCAGGGTGCACACTGTGGCTGAATGTGTGATGGTTGCTGATGGGGTGCAAGTATAATGAATACAGCATCTCAAGTACCCTGGCTTGATGCTAGACATGAAAAGCACTGATCCTCTTATTCCTTTGGAGAGACACTGGACTGGTGTAAGGCGTGAAGGCAGTGGTAAAACCAGCACTGTTTCAGAGCTGCTGTGATACCCCAGACTTAGATCCACTTGGCTAGGAGTGCACAGAAAGGAGGGGATCTGATAGACACCCAGCCCCAGGGAATGTGAGAGTTTTCTGGAAGGGACTACAACCACCCATATGTGGTCTTAAAGCTTTTAGAGCTCCACATGGCCTGGCCTGGCCCTCAAGACTAACAGGGGAAAAGTGCCTTCCCTTTATTAGGATCAATGGTCAGCATCCCACAGTGCAGTACCTGCCAGAGTGTGTCGAACTTAGTCCCCTCGGGGATGGAGTACTTGCCGGACTTGTCATGGTCTATCCGATAGTGATACACGGTTTTGCCATAGACAAGGGAGAGGGCATAGGTGCCGTTTTCCTTCCTTTCTCTCAGCCTGGTGGGAAAGAGAACTATTAAAAACAGCCCTAGGGTTTGCCCTACAGATTATCATGGCTGCAGTGGTGGTGGGCACATGATAAGGTGTTCCTGCATCCTGCTGTTGGAATTGCCACATTCCTGACACCCCTCTGCAGAGGCTGAGAAGGGACCCTTCACCTTCTGTCTCTTGCTTCTCTCCTCCACCCTGTCCAGTTAATTCTTTCTTTCCCTAACTCATTCAGGAGATAATTTAACTAAGGTCTGTCTCACCTTGGCAGAGATACAGAGCCAATGCTTTCTCCTGTATTCTATTGTCCATGCATTGTCTACATGTCAGTGTTAAATGTCCTCACCCCTGAACTCTGCATCTCATATCATCTGGTGCATTAACACACATAATGCATAGAGATATCTAAACATGAGAGACAAATAAAGCTCCAGATTGGCTCTTCATGGAGATGAAGCACTGTCTTTGAGAGACCTGTAACCACAGCCTGACTGCATTCAGCTAAATCTCCTCTCAGGAGCTGCCATGTGAAACAAGTAACTTGAGGGTAGTGGAGGGGGGGAAATGGTAAAGAGGACAGTTCACAACATCTGCCAGGGCTTTCCGTACTCACAAGAACTTCCCATCAGGTTGTGCCCCTGAGTAGAGCCTCCGTTCAGCTTCGTCCCGGGTGATGTTACCATGGTACCAGGGCATCCTCTCATGGGCTGTGGTGGCAATGAGCTTCTCTACCTGTGGAGCCTGGCTTATGATGGCCTGTTCGAGTGCATCCCCCTGGAAAAGAGTGAGAAAGGAGGCTTTCTGCCACTCTGCTGCCTTCTTGCGTGGCTTCAACACAGTTTATTTTGCACCCTTTTTGGGTAGATGACCTAGGAAACACGGCCTTCTCTCTCGTAATGGAAGTGCCTGTGGTCTTAATCATGACTATCTTAATAGTGAGTTGAATTCTGTTCTGCTGCAGAGCAGAATTCCTTGCTTATCTAAATTGGTCCCATCCCTTGAATCCAGCAAGTCCATTGACTTGCTGCTGAGGGAACAGGGAAGTCATCACATTTGTACAGAGCGTCTTGAGGTCAGGATCCTGGGTGTCTTTCAGCCTCACATTCCTGGAAGACCAGGACCTCTTTCTGGTGCTTCTGCCTGACTGCTCACTGCCCCTGGACACAACTTGTTAAAAGCGGTGGAAATCATGTGGGGGACCCTAAATTGAATTTATTGGCCCCCCATGCTTTATAAACAACTGTAGTTTTTCCTTTGCCAGTAGGTGGCAATGTCCTTTGAGTTATCTACCAGCATCCAGCACCTTCCTGGAGAAACCCTATAGGACACATCCTTCTGTCAAACACCTTTGGTCTAAACCAGATCAGATTTCGAGATCTATCCAAGAAAGGCTCCATAGGGAGAATGCACAAGCCATCTTTCTGGGAGAACTTGGAAGTGTCTGACTAGGCAATGTCACGGTGACAGCAAGGAGAAGGAGATAATTTTGTGGCTCCCAGTGTGACCATTCACAGTTTTGCCTTATACATGTATTGTGTATTCCGGTCTATAATAAAATCCATGAACTTGCCTGTATGGAGAGACATGATGCAGTGCCCAGTACCTCAGTCTCACAGGGAAAACCTCCCCTGACTTCAAAGAGCGAGGAAATCCTGAGCAAGAATTTAAGCCTGGTTTTATTACATCTTCAGCACAACATTATGGAGGCACAGACAGCTCACAGGGAGAACATTGGCCTGACTGAAATGAGCATCCCATGTGCCATAGAGGAGGAAATGGGGAAATGCTTGCAAGGTGGGCAGTGAGCTCCAACGTCCTGCAGAGCAGGCACCACACAGAGGAAGAGTGAAGGTTTGCGAAGATGTTGAGACCTGCTTCTGAAGAGGAAACTGGAAGAGAGAGATTTAAGCCTGCTTTTAGTGCCTGCAGCCTCTGAGGAGAAGAGCCTTGTTTTACCATGCTGTAAGAGGCGGATGACAGCGACAAGAGGAGGTCAGAGTGACAAGTGGCACTAAGCCCCAGGGAGCACCCCTTGCACAGTCCCACCCCACCTTTGGCAGCAGCCAGTACCTCGAGTTTCCACGTCTGCCGCACGTATTCCCGCACCATATTATCCCTCATGCTGTCGAAAACACCGGGCTGGGGCTCCACACCGCTGGGGCGGTTGCAGGGCTTGCGCAGGGTGCAGCAGAGCCCATCAGCATCCTTGGAGTAAAACTCACAGAGCTCCTCCGGCCCGCAGTGCGCTTTGCCCCCCACGATGGCGTAGGTACCGTTCATCTGGCGCTCGATGGCGTAGTGGTAAAACTGGAGGTTGCAGACCATGGAGAGGACGTAGCCCCCCAGGCTGCGCAGGCACTGCCGCAGCAGGAACAGCCCATCCGACATCCCCGCCAGCTTCAGGTACTCCTCCGCTTCTGCCCTGGCAATGCTGCCGTAGTAAAAGGGCAGGTGAGCTGCAGCATCTGGCATCTCCGTGCGCTCACCGGGATGGCCTGGGCTGGCTCACGTGCTGCTGGTGCTCGGGCTGGAAGAGAGAAGCAGAACTCTTCACCAACACGTCAGTTTGCAGAGAGGTTTAGGTGGAATCCAGCCTCATCTCCCTGGGGGTTCCTCAGCCCTCAGCTGACTCCCTCTAGGGTCGTTTCACCACTTGGTGTTACAGTGGGTGCATTCATATCCCCCAGTGAATCCTGCCCTGATGAAAGTGTAAGTAAAAATCCATCTAATATCAATTTAAAGATTTCAAGCAACAGAGAATGCACCGAATCCTACAGCGAATGGTTCCAGCAGTTAAATATCTTCACTATTAAAAATGTGTTTATTAATCCATCCCAAAGTTTTTAACTTTGACTTCCTACCATTTTCTCACCAGCCCTGTTCACAATAAAAGGAAATTCTTTTGCCTCTCTGAATAAATCAGTTTTGCCATGAAGAACTAAAATGCCAAAATCTTAACTGCAACTTGATTCAAACACAAGATGGGCATTAAGGGTCTAAACCCATTTAGGTACACAGTTACACCAAACATAGCAAAAGGAGATAAACCTAAATCTGAGTGCTTCCGGTCAGATGTTGACCATCAGATGACAGCAACAAGATGGAACCTTCCTCTAATTGTCTCTTAATACTTTAGGGATGTTTTCCCACAATACCTGACTCTGGCTGGTTTCTGTATTTGGCCGGAGCTCAGATGTGACCACCATCACTGCAACGGGAGTTTAATCCCACTGTCTCTGCCAAGCTGCAATGTGCAAGTGTTACTGGAGCCCCCTGTTCAGAAGACCATAAACCCCCAAATGAATGTGCTGCTGTAGCATCAGCTGCAGTGGGAACCAGCAAGAAACAGCACTTTGTGACCAAGTCACTGCAGAACCCCTTTGCCAAAGAGCTATAGGTCTGGTATCAAATAATCTAAAATCCCATTCACAAACACAAGCCAATTTCCAGCAATTAATAGAAGCATTATCATATTCATTTGTTCCCTGGAGCCTGATCTTTGATTTTGTCACTGTGCAAATGCTGACATCTAAAAGATCGAAGGGTTTTTCTCCATCCACATATCCCATAAATGCGTCACCCACATTCAGAGTGGAAAAACACACTGTCTCTTTGGCCAGCACACTGGGTATGTGCCCTGTAGGCTTCCCAGTGTAACTCTCATTTCTGGACATGATGGGAGAAGTCACTGCCCAACGTGTTGGGCCCACTGCACTACACCTGTAGTGTCCTCTGCTCCCAGGCAGTGGCTGGAGCTGTGCCTGGGCTGGTGCTCAGCCCTGCTCCATCTACTCTGCCTGCTTCAGCCCACTCAGCAGCATAGTGACAGGGCCAGGTCCTGCCAGCCTCTGGGATGGCTGGAGCTGGGAAGGGGTTGGCCTGATACGGGTTTTGTGTCAGCAGGAATGGGGTAGGGATCAGAGAGAAACCATTCTGCTGTGTGCAGCCACGCTGCTCTGCTCAGCCTGCAACAGCAAAGACCCACGGGGCGCTGGATTTGTGGCAACCAGCCTCTTCTCTACCTATTTATTGTCTTCATTAAGACCAGCAATGGCCCGGATGAGAACAGGAAGGGAGAGCAGGCTCTGCGGAGGAGGCGTTTTAGCCGAGGCAGGAAACCACAACAGGAAGCCGTCAGTGGCGTTTGCAGTTGGGTGCGGGACGAGCATAAACCATACCAAGTGCAGCACAAATAAGCCTGAGCTGTGAAGCCCCTTTCATCAAACGAAGCAAAGTGGGGTCTTGGCAGACCTGCCAGTCTGGGGCACGGAAAGCAAATGAAAACACCCTGTAGGGCAAACCTGAACTGGAGTCAGTGCTTAGAACCAAGGCAACGTCCTGATTCCTTGAGGTCTGAAGGCATCAAAGCAGCCCAGGCACTGGACAGGCATAATCCCCAGGTTCAGCTCCTGAGACAAGACAACTTCCAGGTCTTCCTAGCCTTAGCCTGGTCCCAGGGGAAGGCAGGTCCCAGGAAGGAAGGATGTGAGAAGTGAGGATTACAGCTCTTGTTTGTAACTCCAGTCAGGCTCATGAGTCATGTCCACAAGCCCAGGAAGAAGAAGTGCTGAGTGGGCAGTGGAAGATTGATGTTCTTCTTCATGTGCTACTAATTTCCACTAATTACCTGGGATAAGCAGTGACTAGGAACGAGAACACTGCACCCAAATGTGCCCATTCCCTCTTCTGGCAAGTCCAGGACCACATCACAGCAAATGCAACATGTTTGGCAATTGTTCAGAGGTGAAAATGAGAAGGCAGAAGCCCTTGATGACCACCCAGCTCCCACAAAGTTTCCAGCTGCCTACACAAGGGGTTCTGTTATAAACAGGCTGCTTTTCCTCTCCAAGCACAGGGCTGTGAGTCAAGAAAGACTCATAGAGATATGAGAGTGAACCCAGGGATCAGAGGCTGGTTCAGATGACGCCACCCGTTTCGTACAAGCCTTGTGCCACAAATGAAACCTCTTAGAAAATTACCCTATTTAGAAAAAACTCCCAAGTCCCCAGGCATGAAGGCAAGTCACATCCTGCAAGTCTAAGGGCAGATTTGGACAGGACGATTCCTAACCCCTCTGAAGCTCTTGATTTAAAAAGGTTTATTCTACCATCCTGGCTCTTCCTATTTCCCATCCACCAGCACAGGGTCTTCTGGGCATAGATAAGCTCCTCTTCCCTACTACAGCACTGCTCCTAACACTACCTCTGCAACCTGAGCAACCCTGATACAACCTCAACAGACCCGCACAAACCTCATGTAGATTTTGCTTTCTGACACTGTAAAATGCAGATGAAAATGAGAACTGATTTCATGGATTGCTTCTATGAGCATAACAAACCAGTGCCTGGAAGAAGCTGTGGAAGGGACTCTCCACCACTCTTAATTTCAAGTAAAAGGACCTGATTTTTTCCAGCAGCTGCTGAATCTCTTGTCCTTTGGGATGCAGTGACCCAAACCCTAGGTGTTGCTATTGGCTTCAGGAACAACACCATCCCCAGGTTAGAAAAGGCATTTAGACAGAATTGCCTTAAGACCAGAGCTCCTGTGGTAATGGCCACAAGTTGGTGCTGACATGAAGATGCGCTGAAAAAAGCAACAGCGTGTAAAAAGTATTTGAATCTGTGCACCACAACACACAGGAAAGGCAGACAGGAAGCTTTTGAGATGTCGATCAGATCTATATATATCACTGGCCACTTGCTTTTACTTAGATGAGACAAGAACCATCAGGAACTGGTTGGATTTTGTCATTTCTCAGAACAGCAGAACCACTCTGTGCAAATCTGGAGCCAGTCCTGTGAGCAGCAGGGTGCACTGGTGAAACCGGAGGAAGCACTGGCATGCTTCAGCATCCTGTTAGGACCATATTTTCTGTATCAGTGTCCTACCAGCAATAATCCCTTGTATAACACAGCCCTGGCTGGCTGGGCTGTCTCTTTAAGGTGGTTGGGTCAGCCTGGGGGAGAGGAGGGACCTGCCCAGGGGAGACCTGGGAGCATGGGAGCCATGCAATGGGGAATCAGCCTTGGAGAGGGTTTAAGGGGGCTCAGGAGGTGGTGGCAGAGCTGCTGCTAAGGTTTGTGTTGGCAATGTGGGGAGGGGGCTCTTTAACAGCTTATCAAAGGTGTTTAACTGGGGAGGGAGGGGGCTCTTTAACAGCTTATCAAAGGTGTTTAACTGGGGAGGGAGGGCAGGCAGATGGAGGAGAGTGGGAATGTGCGCGGGAGATGCGCCTGTGCCGTGGCTGAGAGGTGAGGTCAGCCTGAATGATGGGGAGGGAGTCGCTTTTGCGCGTCAGCTCTGTCCTGAGCTCCCAAGTGGCCCGCGCTACCTCTTTGTCTCCTCCTGGTGTGAATTGGCCTCTCTGAGCACCTCCTGGGCAAGGAAGATGCTTGTCGCAGTGCCTTGCCTAGACCCATCTGCAGTTAATGCACGAGTAAATGCGTTTTCTTTCCAGCCCTTCGGCAGAGCAGGGCTGAGCAGAGGCTGGAGGCAGGATTTAGAGGTGGGAGCAGGGTCAGAGGTGCAGAGAGGGGTGGTAGAAAGCACAGTGGGTCTCGAGCAGCAGGTACAGAGGGAAGAGCTGCAGTGCCTGCAGAGATGCTGGCCATGTACAGGGACCTGGCTTTCCCCGGGCTGCACAGGAGCTGCTGTCCCCTATCCCTTCCCCTGGATTCCTTTTGCTTATCTGAGCACTGATTTACAGTGGAGAGCCTGGCTGGAGATGTGAAGGGCTGAGAAATGTCTGTCTGCAGTGTACAAATTCCCTTTCCAGGCCATTCTCCCCAGGAGGAGCTGGCACCGTGCAAGAGGATGAGCTGAAGAGCTCATTCCTGGAGCTCAGGCACATGGGGTGGTTTTGAATTATGTAACAAAAGGCTTGAAATCGCTTAGATTCAACTTGGAATGCTTCTTAGTTCAAAGAAAAACCTGAAAAACTGAACTTTGGATTGGCCTGGCTGCATCCTTCTAATTGTTCCTGATGAACGTTTAATTTTATTTATGCGCTCCATGGCAGCTCTTCCCAAGATTTCCTCATGAGCACTCACATTCCTGGCTGTAACTGCTTTCCTACCCTCCCTGCTGACTCTTCATTAAAACCTCAGCTCCTCAAGAGTTTATTAACACTTGATCTCCGTGCGAGTGGGAGTTTGTGAAAGTGTGAGCCCATTTACGTCTGTGCTCAGGAACAGTGAGCCTTCTGCTTACATGGCAAGATAAGCATCTGGGTGAGTATCACTGACTCAGTCCTGCCTGAAAGGGTTGTGTTTACTCCACAGGAAAACCTGGTTCATTTCCACTAAGGACCTTGTCTGCTCTTGCTGCCCTTGAAGCAAGCAGGTAAGTCCAAACTGCCCCTCCACTGCCTGTGCATCCCACCCCAGGTACAGAGATGCTTCCTATTCCTCCTCCCTCTTCGAAGTGGAACATGGGAACCACTTGGCCCCAGCAACAGCCCACAGGCCTTTTTGGGTGGAAAAACGTTAACATTGCACAGCAGCACTTGCAAGGGCCACAGAGGGACCT